GAACGACTCACACCAGGACGAAGAGCCCGAACGACTCACACCACGAAGAGCCCGAACGACTCACACCAGGAAGAAGGGCCCGAACGACTCACACCAGGACGAGAAACCCCAAACGACTCAAATCACGAGGAGCGCTCTCTCTCCCTCCTCCTCCGCCTCGTCCTTCTCCCGCTCCCCCCACAAGGAGGATGTACAAGGAGGCGGGAGGAACAAGGAACAGGGGAGATATGCGGGGCCAAGCGGACACACGCCTGAAAAACACGACTCTCGGCATGCTTCGCAAGAGTTGCTGCTGTGAGATGGGCTGGTGAGGATACGCGAAGCGTAAAGAATTCTTCGAATGGACGAGTAAAGGCTATAAAGCCCGAATAGAAGAGCACCACACTGGGTTAAGCCGGATTGACCCCAAAAAATCCGCCGACCCTGTCGGCGTGTGACAGGGGCTGTCGCGTCGCCGCCGCCAACACGTCCCTCCCTTCCCCTGGATCCGTCGCCGCTCCCTTCCTTTCCTTGGGCCCTCGTCCTCAAGCACGGCAGCCACATCGAAGTACATTATAGCCCATCCACAGAGAAGTTCGGCAGCGTTGTTATCGAGTCGAAGGGCAGCCCCTTCCCTTGGATTCCTTCCTCGCCCAGGCGGGGGGGCGGGATCCCAGAGACAGGTCCCACGGGTGGTCCCGTGGTCTGGGGGGGGTCACGGGTCAGAATACAACCCTCATGGGGCGTTTCGGGAGCGCCCCCTCCCTCCCATCCAGGTTGAGGGCCGAGGCCTCCAAATTCGCCGGCACTGGCCGTAAGGCCTTCGCAATAAAACGGAATGCGGAACTATCCCGGACACTGAGGGATTTCAACCAGGAAAATACCAGCCCTGATGATGACTTAAACCTCCCTGTAATTGCACCCTCAGGCAGTCTGGGGGTGCTCCGACGCAGACATCCGTCGCCGCCAGCGTGTTTCCAAGGGGGCTCCTTGAAGGTCTGGACCCCTTCCCCAGGATCAGTTTTTCATCCCAGGTCGTTTCTTGACGTCCCACTGGGCTGGCGAGGGCCCCGCGATGTCGAAAGTGACGAAAAGCTTGCAATCTCGACTCCTTCACGACTCGAGGATGTCGGGGAGAACCTCGAGCCCGGATGAGACGATGCGCTCCCCCCCCCGATATGCCTCTCCGACGTCCGGAAAGTGATGCAACTCGGCCCACATTCCCCTTGGCGCCAATACTAGGGGACAAACAAACCTACCTCGCTTTGACCACCCTCGCTTCCAAGAGATACCAAGCGATGCCAAGCTACGGCCTGTACTGGTCAGGCCGCTTGACGGGGAGGCGCGTGGTATGACTTGGTTTTGCCTGGAAGCGAAAGCGAGGTAGGTAATTCACGCTCTGGAATAATTATGCACGTGTGGCAGCCGCGGGGTGCGGTCTGAAGCTCCCCCGGGGGACCGGTGGTGGCGCACGCACGGTCAGGCGCTTCACGTTCGGCATGCGGTCGCACACGACCAGGGGGTCGTCGGCATCGCAGAGGAACTCGGTCCACACGTTCAGAACCTCGGCGCCGCCGCCGGCGGGAGATCCCCGAGATCCGGGCGTTGCCATGTTTTTTTTTCACACGGGGCGCTTTCGCCGGGGCTCGGGCCTTGGGGCCATCACATTTCGAGCCTGCTCGCGAACTGCTGCAATGAGATCGGGGTCTCCAGCCCTGATGTTTCGGAGTGCTGTATGTTTTGTTCGCGACGTCGGGTCTTTGGGAGGGCCGAGCCTCCTGGAACTGGCCAGGAAAATCACTCCAAACTCCCGCTGCTCCGCCCCGACTCCTGGGCCTGCTCCGCCGGGCACGGAGATTGCTCTATAAAAACAGACGCCAAGGAGTTGGATACACGCTCGACCCGCGCGCGGAGGCAAGGCGCGCTTCCCCATCGAAGGCCGATCACTGGAGACACATGCGGCCCCAAGCGCTTCCAGCGCTTGCCCAGGCCGGCCGCGTCATGTGCATGGAGCTTCCCTGCGCTGCCCATTGCAATCATTCCCAGCGGGGGGAGGCCCAAAACAAACACCCTGAGTGCCAGGGTATACGTGCCAATCTCGCCGGCAAAAACCAAATCTGCCCAGATATGTACCCATCGGTCGGAAGAAGTAGGTAGAAACATAAAGTAGGAAGGCGTTGGAAATAGATTTGGTTTCCGCCCGCCTCCTGAAGAGGAAGGAAGAGGGAAAACCATTCGACTCTTGAAGTAGGAAGGCGCTGAAAGTAGATTGGAATCTGGGAATCCAAAAATACCTACTTTCAACGACCGGTGGGTATGGTCTCTGGGAAGCACCACCGAACGTCCCACCTGGCCACGTCGGCCCACGCTTTCTGCAGACGGCGTCGCGAGAGGCCTGGGCGCCGCAGTTTCGACTCTGGGCCCCTGGTCTGGATGTTTCGCGACGCTCGCCGTCGCTCGGACGTCCATTTCCCGTGCATTTTTCGGTTTCGTGTGTTTTTTTTGCTCGATGGTCCAGGATGGTCCTCGATGGCTCTCGCCGAAACAAATACACACGTCCGAACGATGCCAAGGACGCTGCAGCTTGTGGCGGGGCCGGCTCTCACGGCGCGACGCCCTCGCACCCATACCCAACAAGTACTCCCCAAATGCTCAAAAATGGTCAAAACACGGCCCCTGGACTGTTGTGACTACTTTTGAATATTCCTCCTGTAGAGGGACACGCCCGACCTAAATCTTCTCGCGACGCTGCAACCTTGTGGCGGGGCCGGCTCTCCCGGGGCGCGACGCCCTCGCACCCGGATGTGTGCTCCGTCGCGGCCAGGGCCCGCGTCTCGCCTCGCTGTGCCCTCCGCGGGCCCCCCCCGCCGTGAGACCCGCCAGTTACCAGCTTGAAACAGATCCCTGTCCCTATGCTTGACCTAACCGCACCTCGGTGCCGATCTTAAGGATGCCCTCGGTTTCTGAGGGCCCACCCCTGAGATTGCCCTCGCGTTTTGCTCGCCCATCTCTTAGGGATAGGGATAAGTTCGAGGCTGGTGAGCCGAGGCTGCACCACGCCGCGTTCTCCCGCGCCACGGGCTGGTTCGGCAGCACCCTCCCTGCAGCTGCGAGCGGGGGGGGGAAGAGAGCCGAAGGGCCGAAGCGTCCGTCCGAGGGGGGTCCCCAGACCCCCTCGGGCAATGAAAAAATCATGACGGGAGGTTTTCGCTATTTTCGGTCTCGGGGGGCCCTGGCTGGGGCTCGAGACCGTCAAAAAACGACCCAGGATGAAAAACCGGTCCAGGTGAATGGGTCGAGACCTCCAGGGGTCACGCAATGAAAAAATCATGACGTCGGGGGTCTGGGTCCATAGGTAGAGGAATGATGACAGCGATAGAGGGTTGTATCCCTCAGCGCTGCGCAGTTCTGTATCCACAGTATGGATGCTCCAATGCCTGGGCCGACGGCGGCGGCGGTAGAGAGAGGCGAGAGTGAGGCAGAGAGGGAATGCGCACGCACGCACACACACACACACACACACACACACACACGCACACACACACAGACACACACACACACACGCACACACACACACACACACGCACACACACACAGCAGCTTGGTGCACCCTCCGATGCTGACTTCTGCTGCACGGCCGCCGTCGTGCCGGCACCATGCAGTCGAAGTATGGCCACAAGAACGTGAGTCGTCAAGACCATTATAATCCCCCTCTGCGCCGAAGACCCGAGAAACCCAGCGAAGACGGATTGGAAGTCTCAGACGCGACAAAGACTGGGGTACCCCGCCAAAGCTAGGGTTGCGTTTAACAATTGTCCAGCGTGTGTGCCTGCACGGTCATGGACTCTTCGACTGGTGCCATTGAGTTGGTGGCCGAGGCCAGGCGGGACGTCGGCCTCGGTCTCGGATCCGCCCGTGCCGAGGCGACGCGAGCGCGGAAGGGTCGCGCGCGCGGGCGAGAAAATAGGGACCAGCGGCCGCAGGCACGGGCGGACGCGGCAAAGGTGCCAGAAGGGGCGCCTCAACTGGCACTCCATGTGCCCCAACCGGGGTCTACCATTAGGTCGGGCATGTCCCCCTACAGGGGGATATTGGGCGAAAAATGCAAAATACGAGCAAAATGCTCCAAATATTCAAATCTATCTTAAAAAATCGCCCCTCTGACGATCTTGGACTATTTTTGAATCTTCGCCCTACGTGTATCAAGGACAGGCCCGACTCAAGTCTACCATGCTCCAGAGAGGGGCCCAAAGAAACACTGGAGCGCGAGGGGGGAGGCTGAGGAGGACGAAGGAGCGAAGAATGAAGACGAGGAAGGGAGAGGGTAGGAGGAGGACGGAGACAAGAGGATAGCGGGGCTAAGGAGGAGGAAGGGGGCGCCGCGGACTGAGGCGGGCGCCAGTTCAGATAGAGCGCTGAACTGGAGTGAGTCTGCAACCCCTCCTCTTCCTCCTCCTCTTCCTCCTCCTCCTCCTCCTCCTCCTCCTCCTCCTCCTCTTCCTATTCCTCCTCCTCCTCCTCCTCCTCCTGGCGCGTGCCCGACACGCGCGCGAGTTCATCCTCGATGTGATAACACAGCAACTGCCAGCTTCTGCTGGGCAGCACGCACCTGCGGCAGCAGGCTCTCGCCTCGTTGGGCCAGAGCTGTCCACCTTCTGATGGTGAAGGCCTGCTATGGCAAAATAACGCAAACCAGATACCAGGAACTTGTAACAACATGTTTTCAGGGTCGAGGAGGCCGAGGCGAGCGATAGGTCGCGGAGGGAGGCCACGACCGAACACCGAGGACACGAGGTCGAGGAAACGAGGACAGGAGAGATAGTGGGCAATGCTGTCTCGGGCCGCGCAGCCGAGAAAACATCTGGACCCACGTTGAACTCTGGCCTTTCTGGCCCAACCGCCCGCTAGCGATTTAATCCAACCGGTGGCCCAGGGACCAGGAAAACGACGGACAGCACCTTGGACAAAACCGCACTGGATGTCGTTAGTCCTGCCAACACGCTCAGGAAATCAAACCAGCAGACGGGTGCGAAATGTAACATGAAGCCTGGGAGGAAAAATGTCAGCCTGTAACTCTCGGGCCAGCGCGCGCTGGAGCTTCGCTTTGGGGTCGCCCATCACCTTCGCACCCTCGGCACAAGCACGGCGACCCGCCTCAGCCCACGCGGGGCAGTTCGGAAATCCTCGCGCCGCTCCTCGGAGGATGCAAGCCAGGGGCTCAGAATCCCAGAAGTCTGGGGAGATTCTGCCTCAACAAACTTGCACCAGAGGGAGCTCTGTGGGCGCTGCGTCGTGCAGCTGCTCAGACAACCTGGGCCAATCTGCAAGCGTCTTCAGCGCGGAACGCATCAGTGGAGCGAGGTTCGAGATGAGCCCACTCTGAACGGCTGGCTCGCTCCACGAGGCATGGTTGAACAGATCGGCTCTGGGAAACGCACAATGGGGCACTGACAGCACCATGGCCAAACAGACATGTTCGAGGTTGGTAGCGAATGGGGAGAGATGCAAGTGCTGACGTATGTACGAAAGGACAGTGATCGTTCGCTTGTTATATACCGAGACAGTCACCGCCTGTGGGCCCCTCGAGGCTGCAATGGACGAGTTGCGATCTTATTATTGCAACAGGGGCGCCGACCAGGAATCTCCCATGGCCGATGGGCCGAGCAGAACCCCTAGGTATTTCACCCTCGGACAGATGCGAAACTCGGACCATTCGGGGAGTTCCCTTCGGAGCCAGTCTTGGATTTCTTCGATGACCTGTGGCGCGCAGCGACTGTAAAGCGGAACCAGGCAGCGCTTCTGGCTCTTCAGATCGAATGATGCGATGCGACGCGCGGCCCAAAAGACCACCACCATAAGCTTGAGAACCGTTATCTGATACAGACAGGCACCCGCATGGCCTTGGCACCGCCCGCGCGCGCTTTGACCTCTCCCCGGCCTGGGGCGGCATTAAGCTGGCGAAAGTGGCAGAGGAAAGGGTGGGGGCGATCGAGTCGACTGTGTCCGACGCAGGGCAGCCTTGGATTCTGCCTGGAGAAATTACAAAAAGGAACCGGCTCGCAAACGACACCTGCCCGATGCACAAAACGCAGTCGTAGATCGATCTGAGAAAGAGGAGCAGAGGCGGGGCGTCGAGACAGGCGAAGGAGCGGAAGATCCACGATTGGGGGATCAATGGGAACGCCTGACCAAAGTCAATGCCCGCGAGGACTGGCTTGGTCACGCTGGCCCTAGGACTCAGGCCTGCGATTCGGGGCGCAGCGTCCAGCTCCAGAACGTGCCCTGGAAGTTTCTCCCTGGGGTGAAACCTCTCTGGTCGGCGCCAGCAATATCAGGGGGCCGCTCGGGCAGCCCCGAGATATTGTTGGCGCCGTCGGCGCCGTCCTAGAAGGCGGGTCTGCAAGGCCCCACGCGAGATCAATCCTCCCTCGCCCTCCCCAGCTTCCTGTGGGACCTATGCACCTCTGAAGTCGCTGGAGCCAAACGACATCGGTCGACCTGCCAAACACCGCCGGAGCGCCTCTTCAAATACTTGCGACCCCTGCGGGAGATGCCGCCAAGCCTGGTGGCATAATGCGCCGGGTCCCGCGGCGTCGACAGGGGCTCGCAGCAGCTTGAAACGAATCGATCTCACATCGGGCGTCGGGGTGTCCAGCGGGCCCCCTTCGGGCGCAAAACGCGCCAGGCACTGGTCGGCAGCGGTCTGGTCGAGACCTCCTTCGCCCGAGAGACTGGGGCCCATGCCTGCGACAGTTAGGTTAGAATTGCCTAGGGGTCGGTGGTCTTGTGGTTGCCAGCTTTGATCCCTTGGAGACACAGCCCGCGGTCGATGTTCACCCATAGTTCCCCCCTCCTCGAGAGTCCTCGGATCCTTCGTCGCAGTCTCATGCGTTTCTGGTGCACTGTCTCCGCGGCGAATGCCGCCGATGCTCGAGCTTGTTCAGCCTGCTTGAAGGTGGCATTGAGCTCGTTAAAAATAACTAACAACTCTCCAGGTTCCACACTGCCCTCTGAGGCACGGGGTCGACGTTGAGAAATCGCCGCCCAAACTCATGCGCGGCCTCTAATCGAGAAGCTAGACGAAGACCTTGTTTCCAAACAGCTCGATGGTGATCATCCATTTCGCGAACGTCGAGGCCCCGAGGCCGGGCGCCGAGGCCCTCGGCTCCAAGGGCGCCAGAAAAGCAGAATGGCCGGAGAGCTTCGTGCCGTGACTCACCTCTGGGCTGCCTATCACTCGGCCCCCGCATGCGATGTGCGTGAGCGACCAGCCAGGCAACGTGCAAAAGATGCGGTCGATGTGAGACACCGGCTTCTGCGACTGGCAGTAGCGCGTCGGCTCGGACGCTTCAAACCCGACGAATTTGCTAGTGATCGCTGTCCAGTCGATCCCAGGATTTTGGCGCCACTGATGGATGGGCGCAGTCCGCCTCCGAAACTCGCCCCCTGAAAGGCCCGAGTCGAAAGCGTGTTCAGGGGCAGGAGGTGCCCCCGAGAAATTGAAGTCCCCCGCCAGGAAGGCGATGCTTTTCGTCGGGTTGCGACTAGACAGCCTCGCGCCCTCAAAGATGCGGTTCTTGGGCTCCGCGCGGGCCTCTGGAAACATGCCTAAATTGTAGGTTTCGTAATACATGATGGTGATCCCCTTGTTCGGAAACTCTATGCTCAGTCTCAGGGCCCGACCTGCGACTTCAACCTCGAAAACTAGTCCTCGGAGGGCGCGGGGGGGAGCGGATATCAGGGAAGAAGGTGATGGCGCCTCCTCTGGCACGACGTGCGCCGGGAAGGCCCCCGCGCCCCGCGCGTTGCTCAAAATCTGCGGAAGGACCCTCTCCTACAACAGGCAGCGGCAGGAACGAACCAACCGCCGCGATCGGGCGTGGAGATGGTAGAGGAAGTCACGCAGCTCGCGCTGGGAACCTGTGGCCCCTTGCGCTCCCACGAGCGACCCAGGCGACAGCGGGTTCGAGAGGTACGCGAGCTTCTTCGACCGAGGCTGAAGATTGCGGCGAAACAACGACCTTGCGAGCCAGGAGCCCAGCGTCCGCGTCATGCCGATCCCTTCGCTGGACTTCCAAATCTGGAGGAAGGTGCTCAAGACTCCACGATGGCGCCGTCGCGTCGCCCGCGACTGCGTTCTTGACCACATGCTCGACCTGCTCGAACCCCAGCTGGCGCAGGCCGTCCACGCCCCACTGCAGGAGCGTGGGGCAGTTATCCTCGGGCGTGATCTTGCAGAACGGCGACCACTGGCACGAGAGCTCGCCCCTGGACTAATAAGCGAAAATGCGGCGGTTGGGGAAGGATGGCTCCAGCGCCATCTTGGCCCGCTTGAGGGCCAATTCGCGCTGAACTTGGACATGGCTCTTGTCCTCGCTGACGTGCAGCTCCTGCCTCTGGCTGGATGTATCGGTAACTGTGAACCTCTCCCATGCTGCCGGACCAGTCTTAACGGCACCCAACGCCTGCTGTACGCGGCGGGCGGCCACAGCTGGGGTCCCGCGGACAAGGATGGCGAAGCGCTTCGCCGCGGACTCACCGTCCAGTTCCCAATCCTCGGCGGACAGGTTGGCTCTCCCGAGCCACGCCGAGATGGCGTTGGATACTTCTCCACGCGTGACCGTAGTAGACGAGCGGGCGATAATCATCGAAGTGCCAGGCTCCCTCTCAAAAGCTGGATTGCTGAGCTTGGCCTCAGGCTTCTCCCTGAGCAAGAAGGCCAATTGCTTTTCCATGTGGCTGATCTTCAGCTGCTGGGCATCGGCCCTCTCGGCGTTGACACGACAATCGTTCTCCACCTTACTGGTCCGGCCCTCGACCTGACGTGATGAAGATCCGCAACTGGCGTGCACAGTACTCGCGAGGCTAGTGACGTTCTCTTGCATGTTGGCCACTGCGGCCAAGAGCTCAGCACGTGTATGATCGACGTACCCCTTGAGATCCACGCTGGTGTCACCTCCAGTCTGTGGAGTAGGCTGCAACCTGCGACTCACGAGGGATAGTACTGCGACCGCCACCAGGAGCTTCCGCTGGAGGCATGAAGACGTCCTCGTCATCGCCTTGGGCACCCGTGGCTGCTCGTGCAGCACGCTTGCGCTCGCGAGAGCATGTTCTGTCCCTGATCTTGCGATGCCCACCTGGCTCCTGCGACGGGAAGGTCGGCATGGCCTCCATCGGTTCCACCATTCGGCGGCGTTCCTCAGCCAGCGGGTCGGCGGACATGTCTGGAAAGCAGGAGCGGCGGAGACAGGGAGAGTGCGAGAAGAAAACAGGGGCCACCTGAGGCCCGAAACTGGTCCGAGAAAGGCCTACGGAGAGGCCGCACAGCTAATCGCTGATTCGCGGGCGTCTATAGCCCTTCACAACGGTTAGCCTCGAGCCACAATGGCTGCGGGCCTCCTCCTCCTCCTCCTCCTCCTCCTCCTCCTCCTCCTGCTGCGCCGCCACGGCGGTGGCGTGGTTTGCCGCATGCAGCTTGTATCACCAGACGCCAGAACCGAGAATTTCAAGACTCACCTCTGCTGAGCATACAGAGACAAACAATACCAAAGAGATCAAGACAGGAGGCGGGAAAGGGGGATTCCCGCGGCGGGTCCACTCGTGCAGACGCCGACTCGGCGCCATCCCAGAAGAGGTTGCACCAGTCGCTGCGAGCAGGGATGTCAGCGAGCTGGGAGAGGCGCCGAGATTCGCGGCCGCCACAGCAATTGCCTCGAAGCATCGGTTGTTCAACAGAGGGGTGTTTTATTTTACATCGCGCACTCAACGTCCGCCGCAACGGCATTGTCTACGAGCATCGATGCCTCGGCAGAGGGGCGCGGAGGAGATGAGGAGACGACGACAAAGAGCTCGTGGCCGGCAGCGCCGACAAGCAGACGTCGGCGAAGGGTGGCGACGACGATGACCTCGGCCTCTGACTCGGCGGCCCGATCTCGCCCTGGCTGGCACGACGTGCACACTCACGCCTCGCACTACCCCGCGCCTTGGCTTGTGGATGCCACGACAATGGACACCCTAACAGTCCTACCATTGAATTTAGTATGTGCTTAAAATGTAGAAACAAATGTCCCAAACATGTTTTGAACATGTGTTCTATGTGTGTTAAGACATGGTTAAAGCATGTTCTGGACATCTGGAAAGTATTTGGCAACATGCTCCCTCTCCACTGATCGTCCTCCACAAGCCTGGCCTCGTGCCGCCCGGCGCGAGCGCGGAGCGCAGCCCCCGGGCCTCGCGGCCGCGGGCGCGGGCCCGCGAGGCCCTGGGCGCCTCGCCCGCGCGCGCTCGGCGGCGGAGCGGGGCCCTCGTCTGCTCACCTGCGCCGTGCTCGAGGCGCGAGCACGCGCTCTGCGGCAACCCGGGCGGAGCACGCCCTCTCCGTGCCCAGCGCCCGCGCCGCGCACCGGCCCCCGGAGCGTGAGCCCCAGACCCCCGACGTCGTGACTCGTTCCCTGCGTCGACCGCCCGGAGGCCTCGACCCACTCCCCTGGACCGGTTCTGCACCCTGCGCCGTTCTGTGGGCGGTCCCGAGGCCCAGCGAGGGCCCCCCGAGGCCGCAAATAGTGAAAAACCTGCCGTCATGACTTTTGTCACTGCTCGAGGGGGTCTCGGGCCCGCGCTGCGAGGGCGTGCGAGAGCGGACCAGCTCGGCAGTGCGAGCGTCGTGCGAAGGCTCGTCGCCTCGGTGTCGGGCGCCGAGACCGCCCCGAGGGACCTCTTTCGGCGGTGGACAAACCTCCCTTTCGTAAACCTCCCTTTCGTGAAAGCGGCCTAGGACCGAAGCCGACGGACCTGGACCCGCAAAAATAACGGCCGCGACGCCCTTTCGCGAACCGAAAATGGCCAATTCACTATTCGACGTGTCAGGGTAGGAGGTCTATCAACCTCCGACTCTTGGCAACCCCACGGGGGGCGACTAGGGCGACCAGTGCAACGCGCACGGCACGGAAGTGCAACGGCCCGTTGCAGTGCTCACGGCGTTCCCCACGCGTGGGACGGCGCCCGTGCGGCCAATCATGGGCAACGGCTAGGTCGGGCATGTCCCCCTGCAGACGGATTCTGGACGAAGAATTAAGAAGGTTCAAAACATTCCACAAAATAACCTCAAAAAATGTTCAACAAGTCGTCCCCAGACGAATTTTTGTTTGACTATGTTTGCGTATTCCCCCCCGGTAGAGGGACGAGCCCGACTTAACGCAACGGTGCAGGCCTGGATACAGCAGCGAGATGGCGTCCGCCGGCTGCCATGTATCACGGCAGACCGCGCCCGAGCTCGCAGAGGAGCATCGCATCCCTGCCGCCTCGCCCCGCCTCGTCGAGAGACGCGGGCAGGGGAGACGCCCTGGTCTCTGGACCCGGTCGCCAGCGCGAGGCCAGTGCCCCTTGAGGGCAGGCGCAGCCAAGCTGAAGCCTCAGGTCGGGCATGTCCTCTTCCAGGCGGAGCTGGGACGAAAAATGAAAAAGTCCCCCCCTCCCCCCCGAAAAAACCTAAAATAGTCAAACATCTTCCCCAGACTTGTTCGCGTTTTTTTGACTACTCCTCCTGCAGAAGGACACGCCCGACCTCACTGACGCCGCGCGCGACCAGGCAGCCGAGCGGAAAATCGCGCCTGGGGCGCGGTGGCTGCGCGTGCCGCGCGCGGGGCGCGGAATCGTCCCGCCGCTCCGAGGTGGGCGGCAGCTCAGATCGGGGAGACGTAAGACCCGGGTACGGGGGACTCGGAAATCCCCGACGAGGTCGTCAAAAAATGACGAGGCCGAGCCTGCATTTTGACGAGGCCTCCCGCTGCAGACATCCCACGAAACTCCTCCTCGTCAAAATCCGAGGCGCGGTCGTCCAAAAGGGATGGCGAACCCGAGTCCCGGCAAACCCGGGTCTTACGCTCCCCCGAGACAGGGCAGTTTCTTCACCGGTTCCGTTTTTGCACTTTTTTTGCCGCTTCCGACGCCGTTATCTGACTGGTTCCGTCGCCGTTGTTTGACCGGTTCCGGCTCCGGTTCCAATCATGGAGCCGTTTTTTTGCCGTTTCCGGTCGCCGTGTTTTTTGCCGTTTCCACTTTCAAGGGACATTTTTGTGGAAACGGTGAAAACACGGCCCTGCCATTTCCGGGACCCACAAAGGGCGGCAGGCCATCCGGCACGGAGCACGCGGAGAGGTTCCTGAGGCACTCGAAGTCGAAGAGCGTCGCAGGAGCAACCGCCCCACGCAGGCCTCGCGAACTGAGCGCACTGCCTGTGTCGTACAGCGCGGGCGCCCTCTCCTCGGGGCTCGGAACGATCTCAGACGGGGCCAAAGGATGGGTGTGTGCCGCAGGTGTTCCTGGGTTTCGTACGCCAGCGATCGAACCGCGCAGGCTGCACAGGCAATGAACTTCTAGGATGGCTACCGAGAGGCTCCACGATTAACCCCAAAAGACCTTCACAACGCCTCAAGACAGCTACTAGAGCTGCAATACAATAATGCCTCAAGACAAGACTCATCGACATAGTGGCCGCTCAGAAGGCCAGAAAGAAACACCTTTCTCCCTCGCCTGCACCCTCTTTATCCTGCCCACCTCCCTCTCTACCCCATCCCCCCGGAAACGGACTACAGAGGAACCAGCATGAGGGACCCAAATTGAAACTCTAACGAGAACTTTCAAAGCGGACAGGAGGGGACATCACGGGATCAGATATGAGGTTCCCTCCTCCCTCCTTTCACCATCTCCTGTGTCGTCCATCCTCACTTTCCCCATTCAGTTTCTCTTCCTCTCGTTTCTCCGTCATCCTCCCCTCCTCCCTTCCACCCGCTATGAGCCTGAGGCCGTGTGCAAACCTGGCCAAATGGTGGCTCACAGTTGCATCCTCCTTCCAACCACGTGACTGAGACCGGATTGACAACGGACCCCTGGTCAAGGAATGCGCGCCCGAGGTTTCGTGTCGCCTACCACGACTGAAAGCAGTAATTGAATGGTGTGCGGAAAGGAAAAGGAAAAGGGATAGGAGATAGGAGGTGCCCCAGAAAGGAAAGGGGGGCGTGCGGAGGAGGACCGATTTCAGCCATTGGGGGGATGCCCGGATCGGGGCATACCGTTGTGTCTGTTAGTTTACCTGGGATCGGCGAGGCTCGGAGCATCGGCAGCGACGAGTATCCCACGCGCACCTGCGACGGATACAGTGGGCAAACATGAATGGCCCAAGTGGCCCAAGATCACGGGAGGGGGGGGGCGGGGGGAAGGGGGGGTTCGTGCGCAGGGGCCCCTCTCCGTTCGAAGTTGAGGCACGGGGATCCACGTGGCCTTTCGGTCCTCAAAGGCGAGGCCCTTCCTGGAATGCCTCGCGTGGTTCTCAACCCGTAACCCACGAAATCCCCTTCCGGGGATGGACAGACCCCCTTCAGCAAGACGTGGTTTAGTGAAAACGACCTCGTCGGGCCCAAAACCTGGCGGGCGCAAGCCTGGAAAATGACGGCCGCGGCGCCCTCTCGAGGACCGAAAACGGGCAATTCACTAATCGACATGTCAGGGGGGGGTTTCTGTCCACCCCCGACCCTCTCGAAACCCGTCCCAGGACGGATCCTCAGGCAGCGAGACCTGCAGACTCCATGATGACGCGCAGCCGGTCAGCAGGGGTGCCAGATCCGCGCTCGCCGATGACCGCGTCCTGTGAGGAAGAGAAGGATGCCGATACCGCTACTCCACCCCCAGACCCCCGACGTCATGATTTTATTCATGACGTCGACCCCTGGAAGTCTCGACCCACTCCCCTGGACCGGTCTTTCACCCTGAGTCGTTTTTCGACGGTCCCGAGGCCCGGCGAGGGCCAGCCGAGGCCGAAAATAGCGAAGAACCTCCCGTCGTGATTTTTCATCTCCCGAGGGGGTCTGGGCCCCAGGCTTCTCCCGGGGGTGCGACCTGAGCAAGGTGCCAACGCGCGGGCCACCGTCGCGAGGAGGAGGGCCCCCCCCGCCCCAGGGAGCTCGGGCAGGGCGCAGGCCACCAGAGAGAGTCCGTCGGCACATCGGCGTCGGCGAGCGCGCTCTCTCTCTCTCTCTCTCCCTCCTCCTCCTCCTCCTCCTCCTCCTCCTCCTCCTCCTCCTCCTCCTCCTCCCTCCTCCCTCCTCCCTCCTCCTCCTCCTCCTAGGAAGCCTCCTCCTCCTCCTCCTCCTCCTCTCTCACCTCCTCCTTTCCCTCCCTCCCCACACCCACTCCCTCCTCCTCCTCCTCCTCCTCCCTCCCTCCCTCTCCTCCTCCTCTCCTCCTCTCCCCCATCTTTGGTGTCCTCCAGCTCGGCGATGCGCGGCAGCAGCGCGCCCTGCTTCGGGCGGCCCAGCAGCGCCTCCTCCAGCGAGGCGAGCTGTGCCAGCGGCGCCAGGGCCGGCGGCGCTCCTCCGGGCGCGGGCGGGGCCTGGGCGGCGGCCGGCGGCGCGGCGGCGTCCGGGGCAGCCTGCGCCGGGGAGGGCTGGGCCGTGGCGTGGCCGAGGGCGAGGCGCTGCTCCGGCGGTGCCTCCGCCTGCGGGCTCTCGAGCGCCTGGAGGCCCCGGGGGGACCGGGCCGCCTTCGGCGACCTGGGCTCGCCCGCCCGCTGGATGTTGTTGGTCACCCTCTTGGCGCGCGTGCCGTACCTGAGCGTGTTGAGCGTCTCGTCCCAGTTGCTGTCCGCGGGGGAGCAGTTCAGGAACATCAGCGTCTTGGCCGTGCCGCCCAGGGAGTCCTGCAGCACCTGCGTGAGCTGGTGGTCCCTGTACGGCACGTGGGCCATGCCCGACGAGGACGTCAGCCTGTCGATCACGCCCCCGAGGGCCGACAAGGACTTGTTGATCTCGATCGCCTCCTTCTCCCGCTCACCCGTCGCCTTGGACTTCTTCAGCCGCTCCGAGCCCGCCAGGTCGCACAATATGATCTTGCTGCTCAGCTGCTGCTTGAAAGTCTCGCTGCGGCCAGAGATCTGGATGCTAAACAGCAAGTGCGACCGTGAACTCTCGGCGTTCATGGCCGTGAGGGCCGTCTTCCGCTGCGCCTGCCCGAGCTCGAAGATCTCGTGCGTGCGCTCCTTCGTCGGGCATTCGTGCCAAGCGAGATCTGGGACCACGAACTTGCCCTGCACCTCGCGGATGCCCAGCGGCTGGACCTTGTCCTTGTCAGGAATCCAGATGGACTCATCCTTGGGCTTGCCCCTCGGGCTTGTGGGCCTTGGCGCGGGGAGCAGGTCGACCAGCTGGCTGCAGTACAGCTCCATCACCGCTGCCTTGAGCTCGTACGTCCAATGCTCTTCATTCGCCTTCATCTTGGCGAACAACTCATTGATCGTGCGGGGAACAATGCCCTCCAAGTCTGGAGAGCCTGGGACACCGATCATGGTGTGCGTCTTGCCCCCGCCCGTCTGGCCGTAGGCGAACACTGTCACGTTGTAGCCGTCCAGCACCGACTGCACCAGCTCCTTGCAGTCGGCGAAGATGTCCTCCTGCGTCCCCGGCATGAACACGGCGTCGTAGGAGTGCGTGGACACGTCTGGGGGCTCCTCGCCGTTCAGCCTCCTGTGCCCGCTGACCACCTCGACGGTGATGAGGTCCACCTGCCGTACACAGCCCTGGCTGCCCTCCGTCTTCTCCTTCTCGCTCATGGGCCGGACGCGGCAGTACACGCGGATGGAGCCCTTGAGATCCTCGACCAGGTTGTGGATCCTCTTCCGCACCCTGTCGTGCTCCACGAGGTCGGCGATGGTCCAGCCGAACCTCTGGATGTTGGCCATTGCCTTCGCCAGCCTGTCCTTGACCCTGATCGCGACCTCCAGGTCCAGCGACTCCTTGCCCTCCCTATCGGACTGCTCCTCGGGGAACAAACAAAAATACCGATACCGCAACTTCCTGGACCTCGCCCGGGGAGCGTTCTGACCAGGATCTCGAGGCGAATCCAGCGGTGGCGGCGGGGGCCTCCCAGGAGGCCCCCCCCAGGAGCGAAAGCGAGGCAAAAGCAACGGCGTGGGGTACCTTTTGCTCCTCTGAGCTCCAGTAGGCGCGTGGCCTCGCCCATGGCCTCCACCAGCTCCCTCTCCGCCCTCAGCTTGTTCAGCGCCTGGGTCGCCTGGAGCACCGCCGGGTCGCTGCCCGGCACCTCGGCGGCCCTCGCCTCCCGCAGCGCGTCCTCCAGCGCCTGGACGTCGCCCGAGGCGCACAGGCGGAGCAGCTGCGCCCGCGCGTTCTCCTGCCTCTGCCGCTGCCTCTCCCTCGCGTCCAAGAGCTCCACGGCCCGGCGACACGGGAGGAGGGAAGCGCTGTGAAGGCAGCGGGCAGAAAGGCCACCCTCAGCAGCAGCACCCCCCACACGCGAAGAGCCGCAACTGGCAAACGCACGCCACAGAAGGCAGATCGAACAGGGCAGGGCTGTTCAGCAAAAGGCCCAGGGGGGCCGTTTCGCAAACGCCAATTCGCGGGTCCGGGTGGTTTTTCCTCCCTATAGACTAAACACGCGCTTCCGGAGGTCCGCGCGGGTCTCTTGGAACGGCGCTGGGCCCACGCCTCCGGCGCCGCCCCTGTGCGGCGCTCCGCGCGCCAGGGGAGTGGAGCAGGGACCGACAGTCCCGGCATTCCTACAGGCCTACCACGACATGTTCTCAGAACCCAGAGATGCTCGAAGACCAACCATAATGTTCTTAGAGCATGAGCCCGACGTGTGGAAATGTTTTAAGACCATGTCGTGCACACCACAAGAGGTTCGTAGAGCTTTTCTCTGGTGGGCCTACAAGCGAGCCAGGACGCCTCGCCGCCGCTTGAGGGAGGGGGGCCCCGCGCCGCTCCGAGAAACCCACGCGGACCTCCGAAGGCTTGGGTGTTTATGCCGTTTTTCCCTTCTCCGAGATACTCCCTCGGCGGCAGGCACACGTCCTCGGGGGGGGGGCAAGAGATCTCCTCGATCGTCCTCCTCGATCATCAATCCTCTTCGATCCTCCTCCTCATCCTCGATCCTCCTCCCTCCTCCTCCTCCTCCTCCTCCTCCTCCTCCTCCTCCTCCTCCTCCTCCTCCTCCTCCTCCTCCCCCTCCTCCTCGGCAACACCCGACCTTTACCGATACACGGCTGCCGCGGCCCGCCCTGTGGAGGAGGGCCCTCGACGCCACGGCCATGGGCGGCTCCCCGGGCTTCCCTGGCCAGAAGGCGACCCCAGAGCGGCCTCCTCCTCATCCTCGATCCTCCTCCCTCCTTCTCCTCCTCCTCTCTCTCCTCCTCCTCCTCCGCCTCCTCATCTGCCTCCTCCTCCTCCTCCTCCTCCTCCTCCTCCTTCTCCTCTCCTCCTCCTCCTCCTCCTCCTCCTCCTCCTCCTCCTCCTCCTTAGCATGGCGAGAAGGCAACCCCAGAGAGGCCTCCTGGATGGGGTCCGAGTAGATTTAGGTCGGGCCTGTCCCCCTGCAGGGGGATTTTGGGCGAACCAAAAACAAAATAGTCAATTACTTTATTGGAGTATACAGATCGTCCCCATGCTATTCTTGACCATTTTTGAATATTCCTCCTGTAGAGGGACGGACCCGACTTGGATGGGGTCGAAGGATCGCGCCGCATCGTCGAAGCATCGCCGATACATCGGCGATGCATTGGCGACGCGACGCATCGGCGACGCATCCGCGACGTCGGCGTGGGGAAAATCGGGCTCCACATCGAGCGGTCTGGGGAGCAGCAGCATCGTTTTGCTCGTCAGCGGCGAGCGAGGGGGGGGGAAATGAGAGGGAGACGGCCTTCTCAGAAGGCGGCAGGGCTTCTCGGGAGCCCTCGCGCCTTCTGGGAGGGTTCTTGTTGGCGTCTTCGGGGAAGGCTTACAGAACACTCCTCAGAGCCTGAGATCCTGGCGGCTCATTTTTTTCGAGCCAGGCGGTTTCGCCCGGCTTCGGGCCACAGGGCCCTCAGAGGTCGCTGCAGCTCGAAACATGGCGCAGCTAGAGGGGGTCAGGGGCTCCGGTCGTGGTTTTTCACGGTGCTGCAATTTTTGGTTCGAGACGTCGGACCTCAGGGGAGGGCTCGGGGACTTCCGAGCCTTCTGCGAAGGCCTGATCCTGCCTCCCCCCCCGGGCTCGCCGCCGATCTCTGAGCTTCCCCAGAGGACTGCCCCCATTGGGGAGGGGCTGCGGCTTCCGGGCCCAGCGGATGGAGAAGCCAATGCCTCGGCAGCCTATAGGGGCTCAAGGAGTATACGCGGCGGCCGTCCTCAGGCCCCCGGGGGCATCAGGGATGGACCCATGGGGGCCTCGAGACGGCCATGAGAGATGGATCTGGATGGACCTGGGGGCGCTCGGAGATGGACAGGTGCCGCGGTGCCCCCCCCCCCCACACCGCATCCTTGGCCGCCTGGACGGCGCGCTGCAGCGCGGGCTCGTCGCAATCCTCCTCGGCCCTCGCGAGCAGCCGGCGGGCGGCCCTGGCCCGCTCGAGGAGCTCCGCGGGCTCCCTGCAGCTCTCCGCGTCCAGGCCGCAGGCCTCCGCGTGCTGCAGCGCAGCCACCAGCGCCTCGGGCCACTCGGAGTCGCCACCCCGCTCCCTGGCGGCCTCGTACTGCTGCATCGCCTTCTGGAGGAAGACGCGGGCCGCCTCTCGCACGCGCTCCTCCTCCAGCCGCCGCTCCGCGCTCCGAAACTCGCTGGGCGCCAAGCCGCAGCGCTTGGCCGCCACGATTGCCTCCTCGAGCGCCGCCACACCTCCCGTCTGGCAGGCCGCCCGCAGCATCTCACGCGCTCGATACACCTCGCTGTGCTTCGTCCGCTCGGACTCGAAGCCCACAGCCACCCGCAGGTTTAGGAACGCCTCGATTCCTGCGCCCGCGTCCTCCAGCCGCAGCTCACCCTCGAAGCTGGGCAAGACGTCTGCCGCGTCCAGCTCAAGCTCCGCGTGACCCAGGTCATCGTCCTTTGAGAAAGCGTCCTTGTCCCATACCCTGAAGCGCAGCCTGTCCCCGAGCATGTACTTCGGGACCACGGCCGTGTGCTCCCAGGTTGGCGACAAGTTATTGTAGATGACCTGGGTGCGAACTTTAGTGTCCTTCTTCCCGATGATCTCGCACGTGCAGTAGGGATCGGAACTGCCCTGTCCGACGAGGCCGTCGGCGTCACGAAGCCCGCGCGCAGATATCATGCTTACGAAGAGCGGCGGCCCTTTGGCGGCCACAATAGCCGTCCTGGCGAACAGCTCGAGGGCGGCCCTGCCGACCTCCTGGCTGTCCTCCCCCAGGGCGACCTTGCACGCGCTGGTCATGAGACGCTTGCCGTCGACCACCATGTGGTCGCCCTGGACGGACAGCACTTTGACCGGGGAGACCATGCTCTTCCCGTTGACGATGTAGCTGAGGCTCCTGCTGGGCGCCAGCGACAGGTGAAGCACGTTCGCCTTGCCCTGCGCGTCCCTGAAGTTCAGCACGTTGGTGTCCGCGCCACCCTTGGAGGCCGCGCAGGCCACCTGCTTCGGAGGGCCGGGCTTCGCCTCTGGGGGGCCGAAGCGTGCCGACACCGCTGCTCCACGGACCTCTCCCGGGGTGCGCTCTGACAAGGGCTTCGAGGAGAATCCAGCCGTGTCGACGAGGGCCCCCGAGATCCGCCGTCTCGAACAATCACGACCGGAGCCCTGACCCCATCCTGACCCCACTGGAACACCATGCAAGATCACGACCGGAGCCCCACTTCTCGAGCTGGATCGATTTGTGAGGGCCCCGTGGCCCGAAACCGGGCGAAACTGCCCGGCTCGAAAACATTGAGCCGCCAGCATCTCAGGGGCTCTTCAGGACGAGCGGCATCGTCGGTACGCAATTGCCTCCCCAGAGCCCAACGTCATGATTTTTTCACTACGTCGACCCCTGGAGGTCTCGACCCATTCCCCTGGACCGGGTTGTCATCCTGAGTCGTTTTTCGACGGCCCCGAGGCCCGGCGAGAGCCCCCCGAGGCCGAAAATAGGGAAGAACCCCCCGAGGCCGAAAATAGGAAAATAGGGAAGACCACTTCCTTCCCCCCCCGTCAGGAAAATAGGGAAGAACCCCCCCGAAAATAGGGAAGAACCCCCCGAGGGGTCTGGGTCCCCGTGCAGCCTCTGCGCCGACGGGCACTGGGCCCCGAACCGTGGCCCGCGGAGCGGCGCCCGGGCTCCGCACGCTGGCGCGCGCGGCGCCGCCCGGCGCCGGGCTCCGCACGGCCGCGCGCGCGCGCCGCCCGCCGGCGCCGGGCTCCGGGCGCCGGGCGGGGCGGCGCCGCCGGGCGCCGGGCTCCGCACGCTGACGCGCGCGCGCCGCCCGCCGGCGCCGGGCTGCGGGCGCTGGGGCGCGCGGCGCCGCCCGGGGCCGGGCTGCGGGCGCTGGGGCGCGCGGCGCCGCCCGGCGCGGGGCTGCGGGCGCCGGGCCGCGCGGGCGGAGCGAAGCCCGCGCCCGCCGGCGCGTGCGGGCGCGCGTCCGGGCGCCTCATGGGGGCATCTCGAGGCGAGGCGGCCCCGCGCCGGCTGCCGTCGGGCGCCGTATGAGCCTTCTGATATGGGCGCGCGGAGGCAGCTTTTGCAGGAGGCGCCCCGGGCAATGTCGAGCCTTTTTGGGCTCCATGGGTCCACGCTCTCGGGGCCACGATCCAATGCTGATTGCACCCAGGGCCTGCGCTCGCACAGCCGCGAACCCTGGGACATTCGTAGGATTGATCTGGTCGGCGATCCCAGTGGCATGATCCTGTGGAATGTGTGGATCCGCACTCTCACAATACATCGTGGCGTTATGGATCCGGACTCCCACTGCCGCGATCCGTAGTAACAACTTATGTTGAGCAGTACGGGAAACCCTGCCGACGTTACAAAGGCGTGTTGATGCTTACTGGCACTTGAGTCTACCGTCACGCCGGTCGAGGCCTGTCTTGGGGTCTCATTGCGTTTTGTTGTTGCAGGTCGAAGTGCCCTGCAAGTCGATCGCCAGAGGCAGCCGACGTACCCAAAGAGACGACGTTGGCAATGCAGGCACCCCGCGCAACCACCCAAGTGGTGTCAGGCTGCGACTTGTTTGCCAGTCGCCTGGGCCCTGGAAACAAGGAGGGTAGGCAAGCAGCTACAGCGAGCAAGTGGCAAGTGGCCAGAGGCTAAACCGGCAGGAGAAAGATAACGACATGGAAAAGTCGAAGAAGGTAGAAAGACAATACAGCTTCATTCCAGCGCAGGCCCATGACACAGTCGCGTGCTCAAGCTCACTGCTGCGCCGTGGACGTTTGAAAAATAGCGAACGCCAGCGGATGGGCAAGCGCCACCACGCTAATGTACGGAATCCTTACGCCGCGCATGTTCAGAGACGAGCACTGGATGAGGGAACCGCGCAAAGGAACGCGTGTCTGAAGCAAGAAACTCGCTGCCAACACAAACTTTCAAAGTGATAGACGCCACAATGATATTACAGCATGCCCCCGAGCACTCCTCACGCCGTCGAGCCCGCCGCGTTCGCCCCCACCGCGAACCTCCACTTCACTATCTGATGAACTCAATCCTGCAGTCAAGGTTCTGCTTCCCGACGTGCACTGTGTCAGGCGCGCCAGGCAAGTTGGGGTCGACCGCGCCCTCCACCTCTATGCGGGGGGCTGGAGTGCGGCAGCTCGGGCTGCTGAACGTGCTGTGCCTCGGCTGCTTGGCTGAGATCTCCAGAGCCTCGTGAATCCACATGGGCTCCTTGTGCAGCACTGCGACGCCCACCCTCTTGGCTTCGCCACGACGCGAAGGACAGCCGGACATGAACTCCTCAGAATTGATGGTCTCAGACTTGTCGCTGTCCAAGAGGTGGAACAACTTGCCCTCCTGGTCGGAGGGCGCGCCCAGCCGGTTGAAAAAGGCACCGATCTCGGGCTCCTTCATGCGCATATGCATCTGCTCGTGCGAAACCGCACCAGTGTTCTCAGCGTCGATATCCTCGAATACCTCTCTCATGGTGGTGAGGTAGCCCCTCGTTTCAATGATCTCACTTTGCGCTGCCAGGCCACGGCCAGCCCAGAAACTCCCCGCCGAGCGTGCCCAAGCTCCGCCAGATCACCTCCCAACCGACACCACCAGAGATCACCTGCAAGAGCGTCAGCACGGCGACGAGCAGCGAGCCGAACCGCGCCCGCAGGGGCGCCGCCAGCTCGCCCAGCGCCTCGGCCGCGGGCGGCCCGTGCCGCGGCAGGAGGGCCAGCGCCCCCTCGGACAGCACACTGCCGAAGATGAGCAGGATCATGAAGACCAATAGGCTGGATCACGCCAGGGACTTCACCGCTCCGGTGAGCGAGAGGACCATGACCCTCAACTCTCTGAAAGAGCGGTGCTGGCGGATCACGTCGGTCACCACCACGAGCGACAACGCCCGCGCCAGGCGCAGGGCGGACAGCATCGCGACCGCGACCCTGAGCTGCGAGCGGGACCTCTGGTGCTGGTGCGAGTGTTGGCCGATGACCTGAAGCAGCTGTGTGATAACGACCAATACCTGGAACATCTGCCAGCCCTTTGCGGCCGCATGGAGGCGATCGAACTGGCCAGCCGCGAACCTCAGGCAGAGGTCGATGATAAACTGTGCGCGAGACATGTCCAGAATCACTGTGACAAAAAATACAGTGTCGCTGATGCTATCTGGGGTGATGTGTAAGCGAGAGCTTGCACGACGCGCTGCATCCGGCATCCCCCACAAACTAAGCACGGCATCCTGAAGCATCAGCATGGCCCTGACGACCTCAAACTCGGGCGGCGAAGTGAAGGGAGCAACCGAACGAGGATTAGAACCACTAGTGGCCCAGGTCAAGCTCGACGCCGACGCCCAGGCTCAAAGTTGGCGTTGTATATGCGGATGCCGAGCTTGGCCGCGGCAATCTGCATCGAGGCCCGCCTCGCAACGGATGGGGAGGCCGAAGGCGTGATCCAGCCGCTCTCCGAGGTGACGCGGGGCTGGCGGCTCCAGAAGGTGGACTCTGGGAAGTGCAGCTGCCAGAGCTGGGCCCTGAAGTCGCTGTAGTGGGGGCACTCTTTCAAAAAGGTGACGCGCCGATGGCCACGGATGCCCGCAGTGCTGGCAAGCTCGGGAGCACTCGTGCTGGGTGCTGGTGCGCGTCCGAGACTGGGACGCTCCTGCCATGAAGATGTTGAGAACCCCGCGCTTCTCCACGCTGAGGCTCGCTTCGAAGGACTTCCAGCCACGCTGGCTGAGGACCTCGACATCGATGTCGCCATGGCCCTCGGAGCCCTGTCGGGTCGCACGCACGCTCGGACGGCAAACGCTCCGCGCCACCACGCGCACGGCATGTTGAGCAGCGCCATCCGCCGTCCAGAACTTCGTTGAATAGCCCCGTGCTCGAGCCGTGGCGCGTAGAACGCGGGGATCATCATCGGGAGCCGCGGCGCCCTTGATGCCCCACTGGGGGGGATGGGCCAGGAGCTGTAGGCCCAGTGCGCGGAAGTAGGCCTTCAGCGCGAACGTGAGGAAGGCATTCGGCTTCAAGGATTGCGAGAGCACGGTCTTCATGGACTGGATGGCGGGCGAGAAGCGAGGGTTTAGTCCGACTCGACGGCGCCGCCATCTGCCAGCACACCACCACTTACACTGGGCCCTCCAAATTTTGCAGAAATCGATATGTCCTGCTCCAGCTTGGCCCAGCCCCCACACGGGGCGATGAGGGCCTCTGGGCAGGCGGGAGGCGCGCAGTAAACCCAAGTGCTCGATGCTGTTCACGCCCTCGGAGTCCGCGGACCAGCTCTGGCGCTTGGCGGCGTTCTCGGCGCGGCCGACGTCGCGGTCGCACTGCGCAGTTCGAGCGAGGCCGATCTCCAAGTCCAGCTCGGAGCGGGCCGTGACGGGGCGGGTCGTCCATGAGAGCCCAGCCGGCCGCGGGCGCACGCACCCAAGTGGCCGGGGTGGCGACCATGGCGCCAGGAGCGGCGCTATCGACCTGCGGCGGCCCGCGCGTGGCCCAGAGGGGCTCTGCCGTCTCGGCGGCGGCGGCGCAGATCCGACGGGCCACGCCGGGCGCAGAGGCAGACTTTGACGACGGAGGCTGGGGCACCCTGGGCCTCCAGCGCAGTGGCGCCCAGGTCGCGGCCGCAGGTGGCCTCTTCGGCTGGCCGGGCAGACACAGCGCGGACTACTGCAACACGACGTTTGCAAGCGTACTGGTTGGCCGCCGGCCGCGGCAACGAGGTCGCCATCGCCTTCCGCTCTCCACGGGAATACTGCGAGCAGAACCTCACGAGGAAACTCTCCATTGCATCTGATGGCATACTGGGTCGTTGCGACCCGCGCCGCGTAGAGCTCCTCCAGCAGGAAGGGCGCAATGTCACGCGTCAGCTTGAGTTCCACTGCGCTCCAGCCGTCAAAGCCAGCGGCGCCGTAGGTGGACTTCACGGCCTCCAAGAGGCACTGCAGTGACGGGCGCCAGTCCGCCGACTTCTCGGAACGCGGGAAAACAACGCCTTCGCACCATCGCCTCCAGCTGGTCACCGTCGGCTCGGGGTCGCAAGCTGGCGGCCGCCACGCTGGCCCCCATTCAGCTCTCATGCCCTGCGCGTCGAAACCAGCGGCAGGCGCTGGCTGCTTGAACCGAACTGGGCCGCCCTATGGCGGCGCTTCTCATCCCCTGCCTTGCACTCAGCGCTCAGCGCCTCGTGGACCTGGCTGTAGCAGGGCCGGCCGTCAGTGGGCTCCGCGAGGCCGCCCGTGCACAGTTTCGGAGAGTCTGGGGCCGACGCGCTCCTGCACGTGGACACGGTGGGCTGCCTGGTCCGCGCAACCGCGATGCATGCGCATATGTCGTCGAGGAGCGATGGGCCCCTCGGGCGCGGCGGCGGGGCAGTCGGCCTTGAGGAGGGCGCTGGTCCTTTAGCTCGCTCGGGGGCTCGCCGTTGTCGAACCCAGCGCTCATGGGCAGCCAGCTGGAAGCAGGCCTCAGCGCGCCGATGCCAAGCGTTCCACTGCTCCCCGATGGCGTCAATCGCCCTCGCCGCGGGGTGGGGGGAATCGAGGGTGCACTTGAGCTCGTCGACCTCGGCGTGGTTGACGAAGGCAGCGCGGTCGGCGACACAGAGCGATGTGTGCTTCAAGCGCGCCAGCGGTCGAAGCGGTCGTCTAAGTGGCGGCGGCGAGTAGCTGCGCAACAAGCCACGATGTGGAAGACCTTCCACAACATTAACTTTACGAAGTGAAGCTTTAGCATCTTCTCGGCCCGACGGGAGGAGGGCTCGCGATGGGCTGGCCCCCGCAGTCGTCGCGGGGAGGCTCGCCTGATCCTTCGCCCAGTTGGGGCCGAGGAAGTGCGCGTGGCGGGGCTTCCAATTCAACTCGCCGGTGATCGCAACATCACCTCCCAGAGTGGCACTCCAACCCAGTAGAGATGTCATCCAAGGATTGTCGCCTTGAGCCAGCCCGCAAGCTGAAATATCTGCACTTGATGAAGTCTGTCTTGGCGGCCAAAGCGCGGCCTGTAAAACGAGAAGGGCGAATGACTTTGACACGGCCCGGGCCCCCCCAAAAAAAAGGCGGCGCCGCCGTCGGCGCGCTCGAGGCGCCCTGCAGCCGAACGCGGGGGAGGCATCTGGATCAACCAGCGAGGGCGCCCGGCACAATCGAACATCTTGCCGCGTCATGAAGGCTAACCCGGAAGAGTCAGCATGGCGAACAATCGCTTGGGCTCGGGCGTAGGCCAGGGCGGTAACGTTCACGCAGCCCACCCAACAGGCGCCGACAGGTAGAGGATCTCCGCCGCGGAGGAAATCAGCATCAGGGGGTCAAGGTCAAAGCCAGCCAGCTGCAACAGATCGCGACGGCGGCCAAGGACTGAGCTTGAGAGGACGCCGTGTAAAGGCATTCGGTCGCGATGATGATCGCGATGAAGGCCACGGGCTGAGCTCGAGAGGACACTTTCTGACGGCATTAGGTCGCGGCGATGATCGCGACGAAGGCCGCGGACTGAGCTTGAGAGGGCACTTTTTAAAAGCATTCGGTCGCGGTAAAACTGGCGCGCAGCAGGCAGTCACTCATCGGCGCCTTCGCGCGTGCGACGGCGGCGGGCCCGAGCGGCGGCCACGATTCTCTCCCTGTTGGCATGATAGTAGGCGCCGTTCAGCTCCTTGACCCTGGCGGCGTTCTTCCCCCTCCAGGTCTAGGACTGCTGATTCATGCGCTCCTTTGCCCCGGCCTTCTTCCTGCACTCCTTGTTGAGGGTGGGTTTGTGGGCGTCGTGGGCCGCGCGCTACTCGGGGGCGTCGCGCAGCTCCCTGCGAGCTCTCGCGCTAGCACGCGCGCGAAGCGCCCGTGCGCGCCCTTCTGCGGCCCCCGGGCGATCGCCCAGGCGCGCTTGGCGGAGGCGGTGGTCGCGCGAGAAGCACGCGGCGAGACCGCCGTGGCGCCCTTCAGTCGCTCGTCGTTCCCGCAGCGGGAGCAGCGGAAGCGTTGCTCTGCGCCCAGGGCGGCCTCGCGGACCTCGGAGGAGCCGCGGGCGCAGAAGCCGTCGCGGAGAAGCAGCTGCGCGAGAGTCGCGCCACTTTTGAAACTCGGTTGCCCACTGACGGCGCCGTTCCTCACGAGGAGGGCGGCGCGGATTGGCATTGCGGAGTATCTGGTACCCAGCAGGCATGGGCGGGGATTCGCCACGGCACTGACGCCAAGGACGGACATCCTCAACGTGCCCGCCAGATGCTGTAGCGCGAGTGGCCTTCCAACCGCAGCCAGGTGCTGGGAAGTTGAAGCGGTGGCCGCATGGGGCGCTCAAGAGCGCGCCTGGCGGGGTCGCCCTCGTCGGCGGTGGAGGCGCTGGAGCTCGCGGCGTAGAGGCCCAGCAGGGGGCGGGCACGCGCCGCGGCGTTCGGCTTAGATGCTGGGGAGAGGTCCAGCAGCGAGCGGGCCTTGGGCACTGTAGATCCCGACGTCGTCGACGCTGCTGCCGCGCTGGAGGCCCCCCCCCCCCCGCCGCCCGAGAACTGGGCGGGGTAGGGCAGGCCCATCTGCATCCACTCGGCGGAGGTGGTCTCGTCGAGCGCCTTCATCGGCACCAAACGAATGTAGCGCTTGCTCTACAGGGCAAGCCAGATCGTCATCGCGCACGTCTTCTGGTCGGCCTTGGTCGGGCCGCGCAGCGTCCACATGTCGTCCGTCTTGGCCCGCGCCAGGGCGCGCGTCTTGGAGGCGATCGCAGCGGCTCGTGCACATAATGTCGAGGCCTAAGTCCCTGCGGTCACGACGCCCTCACAGGTCGCCATGCGGGAGGTCTTCGCGGGGCTTACTACTCGTGGTTCTGGGCAACGTAGGCGGCGACCGTGGAGCGAAGAGCGCCCTGCAAGGCTCCCTTGGCTTCTCGGTCTGCCGGCGCAGGCTTGGAGGCGCCTGGCTTGAGCGCCTGCAGGGCTGAGGCTGCGCTGATGTTGAAGCAGCCGCCCTTTCCCGCATTTTCCTGCTCCGAGAAGTAGGCGGCGAAGGGCGCCTGCTGCACTCGGGGCTGCTCTGGGGGCTGGCACCCGTGGCTGGCGCTAGCGCAGCGCGGTGGCCGCGAGCAGCGGGCGCCGACGCAGGTGGCGGGCCGGCGCCGCTGGCTGCTGCGGCTGGCC